GCGCGGCCGCCCAAGATGCATGCGCCGCATTACAAGAAGCAATATTTTACAGTTCGTCCGTCGTCCTCCGCCGGTGTTGGAGCCGGAATAAAGCACGGCTTACGACTTGCAATTTCGAACTTTCGCAAAACAATCGGGCACCCGTAACGAGAAACTAGAGTAGTCTGCTCGCTTTCACCTCGCTCGTCGTTCAACGGCGATACTGTCGAGAACGGGATGAGACGAAAGTTTGGGACATTTTCGACACGCTTCGTTAAAAAATTGATGAGGTTCGCGAACGCTTAAGGGCGTAAGCAGACGTAAAAATCGCGGACGTAAAAATCTCACCCGACTGCGCCGAGACGGCGGAAGAGAGTAATGGCCTCTTCAAGAAAGAAGTAAGCTCTATGGGAGGGAGAATTGTGGTAAAAGGAAAAAGAAAATCCGAACTTAAGGTGTAGGGAGGACCGACGCGGATACAATCGTGTCAACAATTTTTCCGAGAGCGTGACTGCGCGTATCTCCGCTATACATCTTCCGATCTTTCGTCACGAAGAATGTAATAAAGCAAAAATAAGGGAAGAATTAATTCGCGTTGAATATCTTTTCGCCAAATATCGCGAAAGCCGCTAATTAACACCAATGGCGAAGGATGGGGAAACCGACAGAAGTACATTTATCGAAACGAGAAAAGAGTGATGTGTAAGGGGCGGCATGGCGGTGGGTTGATATGCCTCTCCATAAGCGACGGCAAAACGGAATCCCGGAGAAGAGACCACATGCAATCCCACGGCTGATTGCGCAAGTTTTACAAGTTCACTCGATATCGCGCGGAGTCGCAATATCGCGGAAGTAGAATCCACCGATGGGCGGTGGTCCTCATTTTCATCGTCGTCGTCGTCGTCGTCCTGGTCGTCATATTTGCCATAGAAGAGAAGAGAAAGACGGAGTCGATAGTCGATAGCAACGTCAAAAAGTTATCGTTATCGTTCGAGGGATGTATCAGTAAAACTTGGCTGCCAGACAGTTTCGTGTTCCAGATCGAGAGAACGAGCCTGTCAGTTGCCCCGAAAAATTTCATTCGGAAACACTACCTCTTTCTCCTTCACCGCCACCCTCTTTTGCCTCTCTTATTCGCTCGAAAATCTCATTTTTGGATACGTGGCTGGACCGGGGCAAAAATCTCGAGCCGAGACATTTTTCTACTGCCACGTCGCGTGCTGCGATTTATGCCGCCTGTTTCTTACCGCTTAATGTTTTCCATCTATCCCGTCGGACCATCCCTCCATCGCCCGTCGTAATCGATAGCCCGCTGAAAATTGCCAGCGACGTTAATCGAGCGAAACCGTAGGCGCGGAAACCGAACGAGCGATAACGCGGACAGCGGATATAAAGTGAGCTCGGGTGCATTTGTATTCCGCGTTCGGGACTCGCCACGGACTCGACGACAGTTACACGAACGTATATTGGCCGCGACGAATCCGGAATGGACTTTCCCTTAACGAAGATTTCCGGGAGGAGACCCAGATATGAAGTTATTGCCCGCTGAAAAATAGAAGGACCGTCGCGAAGTGAGTTTCAGGGATGCAAATGGATAGCGGAACTTTGTCCGATCAATTTTAGCGCGCTCGACTTTATTTCAACATAAACTTCACTTACTTCCCGAGAGAAACTTAATGTTGAGAATCAAGAAGTTCCGCGGAAAGCGATGACCTTCCTCGACAATTTCGCTAAGGGAGAGAGAATTGGCTCTAAGTTCGTTAAGGAATGTCTCAAAGATATTTTTCGATAGATCGCGAGAGAGAGAGAAAGAGAGAGAGAGAGAGAGAGAGAGAGAGAAAGAGAAAGAGGCTACTGCGTCCAAGTACACGCGGTGATGTACGTAACGTACGTAGAACGAGAGATATCGCTTCGCTCTCGATCGCTCGCGTTTCAGTAGCGGATCCTTTTCTATTACATCACACACAGTTCGATATTTTCTTTCCATCTAAATTATAGGTACTATTAGTTCAATTGGCAGAATGATGGTAGAAGGGAAGAAAAGAAAGCTTGGCAGGTTACCGTTCTTAATTAATTCCTTCTTTCTCGCTTTTATCTCTCTCAATCTCGCTTTTGCACTTTTCACTTTAATCAACGTCGTTGTAGCTTCAATTAAAGCAAGTGCCGCTAAATATTTGCACGTTGGCGTTGCATCGACCGCACTGGCTCCGCCTCTCGTTCCATCACTGAAGCTATAACTATTGCGATATGTCGTTAATACTCTCTCAAATAACACACACCGATTTTGGAAAAAGGGCGCAATGCGGATGTGCTCTGACAAGTGGACTGCCGCTTCTTTCTCCCTTTTGTCGACCAGCCATTCGAGGATCTCATTGTTACTGTTAAAAAAGTAACAGAAACGGTCTCCGCGTATTTGTCGCTTTTCGTTCCGCACCCTCGGTTCGTCGTAATTTTTGCCCATTTTTATCGTAATTACACTACAAGTGGTCCCGTGTGTTTTTTCATGTCCGGCTGTATGAGCATTTTTTGCTGCGTTTTTGCAGACCTTTTTGGCGTTGCTGCCGGCTTCCACATTAGCGGTGATTATAATCCAAAGTCTTGTCTCTCCCCCTTGCGTTTTTACGCCTAACAAGAGTTAATTAGTCGATTCACGGCCCGTGAATAGCCACGCGGGTGTAACGCGTCGTCCGAGCAGTCGTATTCAGAAATCTCACGCGACCCGGCAAATTTCCGTTTGAAACATTTATCTCCAGCCGTTGCTGTGCAACGGTGTCTCATCTAATATTGCTGGACGCGTCGTTACACCCGGACGCAGTTGAAATCCACGACTACGTGACCGGTGCAACGGCACCGAAAGAGGTTTTCCCCGTAATGTCCGACGGCAGACTCTTTCGGAATCTCTTCAAGCCTTTATGATCGTGCGCATCTTCCCGAATCTTCGTAAATCTCATTTTCTCAAGTACAACGTGAAGCACAACTTTGTGCACGATCCCGCCTAATCCGCACTCCGTGATTTACGTCACGTGATTACATACGACGGATGTATCTCGTGGAACCGCGCCCGGAAACGAAATTCGTCGACATCCTCGTTGGTTCTTGTCACTTTCTCTCTTTCTTTTTCTACTTCCTTTCGTCCTTTCTCTTCCCTATTGTCCTTTTCTCCTGTGGAAATTCGAATACCGGGACACCTTAAATTACAATGGGGGAAGACACCTCGGGCACACGTTCGCGACACAATTCCACTTAATTGCGCGTCCGCTTGGTCGAACACCGGCTCCGCTCCAACCCTGCTGCCCCCGCCAGCGTCTCCTTTCTAATATAAACCATTGTCCTTGGAAGCGTAGGACGGGAACGTCATGGACGGATATAATTCGGGAACGAATCCCTGATACGTGCCGCTGCTCCGTTCTTCGACGTATCGCGGCAATTTCCGCTTCATCGTCTTCGACGTCTCCTACTTGCTTCTTCCGCGGGCGGAAGAGTGCCGAAGAGAAAATTCCGTCCGAGCACGTGAACGATTCCACCGCCGTGAAGGACATTCTTAACATGTAGATGAAACTACCATGGGAGATGATGAATAACCCTCGCTCTGGCTCGCCCGCAAATTATTTCGGCAACGGAATCGATTGATGCCTTAATGACGCCCATGATGATGAACGAGTCGTCGTGTTTTCATCGTGATGCGACACGCGACGCGATCGTCGCGCTAAAAATCGCGCGACCCTTCCAATTTGTTCTCCTCCTCATTTCCCGACTCATATCGCTCTTCGTTCGGTTTAACAATTGACTCGTTTAAGTTCACTGATCTTAACGTATAGTCGGGAGAAACGTGGTTTTCATTTTCTGGCTTTCTAGAAATGCTCGACGCGTTCGCGCAAAACTGTACTCGCAGGAATGACAATCATTAAGGAACAGAAAGATTAAAATACAGAAAGAAATTGTTTAAAACAGAGACGGGCGTAGGACTGGACTAACGTGCCAAGAGTCCATTCCTCGAGGTCCGTGGTAATTTCCGCTTCATCGTTTCCAACGTCTTGCTTTGAACGAGGATAGGAAACGAACGGAAGGAACTGAGGAAATGGTTGAGAGAGCACGAAAAACCACGTCTGGACACGGCAGTACACCTGATATTCCGCGCACGCTCCCGCGAAAAATTGACAATCAGGAATTTGTTAACTCGCGATGCAGGAATGGAGAGTGGCACACGTCCCCGGTAGAAATCGCTTTCCCTCGAGCCTGCCCGTATCTCTTTTGATCGTGCCTCTCGCTAATACGCGATATCCATTTATTTATATCAATTTACTTTCGCAACAGAACAGTGAGACAAACTCTCCTTTGCCTTTCAATAAAATTGAATGTTATACAATCGCTCTCTTCCTTATTTCACTCACGTTTAATCATTTCCTCTCTTTCCTGTTCCTTCTATCTTACATATATATGCGTAATTGATAAAAATAGAGTAAAAATTGCATCACTAACGATTCGTTAGTACATTAAATATTTTTCAAACATGTTTTATTTTACTTCAATTCAAAACAAAGAGAGAAATTTCCCACTTGTCTATCTCAATGGAATTCCGTTAACATTCAATATCGAACTCACTTTATAGAAAATATGATTCGCAATTTATTAATCAATTCCCAAGCAACATTATTCATGTGGTTCACAACGGTGCATACATATTTAAATATGTGTTGCATTCACGACCATTTCAAATTGCTATTTTTTCCATTTGCTTGTACGTAATTTTCGATGTGTCGTTGAATGTATGAACCTGATCATTATCAACAGTTTGTCCTCGATAACTGATTATGAATAAATAAATTATGCTTGTGAGTGAAAGCAGAAGAATGTGGAATTAATGGGATGCGGAACTCGACGGAATTAACGAACTCGATAAGTGTCATTAATGCAAAGATAATCGTCACTAACACAACCACGCTATCCTTTTTATATTTCTTGTACATATAGAACTTACGTAAACATATGTTGCTTTGTTTTACTATCTTTAGCAGAAAACCTAACCACGTATGTGTAAAAATCTTTCTGCAAACTTTTCCGATATTTTTAAGCTTCTGAATTTAGATATAAAAAAAAGTAATGTTTTTCAAAATTTTTCTGTCTGAAGCATCCACACTTTCGGTATGTACAAGCTACGCAACTTTTCGATTAGGCAAATATTGCCTGATCGAACGAACTCCTGAGTGAAATTCGATCAGAATTATGCGAATACTTTTCGTCCGAGTAGATTGTAATCATGCTGCATGATACTCCCTTACAACAAACAAATTCAAAGTTCCCGCCTGAAAGGAAAAAGGTAGTACACACCGCTCCGTCGCGCATGTAGCGACAAATCTTCATAATTTAAAACAGGTCCCAAATATAAAAATAAAATGGGACAGAAAGAGAAATCAAAATGTTTTCGGGAAATAGGAGGTCCGTCTACTCGGACAAAAAGTATTCGCATAATTCTGATCAAACTTCATGAGTTCGTTTGATCAGACAATTATGCTCCACTTATCGTCCGAGTAGATTGTAATTGTTTAGAGCCAATGATTTGGGACTGAAGTGTCTTCTCGTGTAATCCTTTTATAAGAAAGAAACATGTGACATAATAGAATACAACATATAATTAACAGCTAATGGAGTATAATTAATACGTTAACAGCTTGAGATTAAAAATTTTTTTTTCGTTGTCAGATCACATATTGAGCAGTGCTTCTATTTATTTTTGTACATGTTTTCATTACGTAAAAGCATTTGTAATTCTGTACAACCAATACAACGTAAACTTTGCAGAAAAATATCAGTATTATGTCGGTAAAGTTTTCAACTTCAGCATTCTCTTAAATTATATTATCAAAAACGACGGATACACGTCGTTCGTTCTTATTTTGTTTTGTTTAAATGTTGCAGTTAATGTAAGCACCGACTTGCGACTTTTTAAATAAAAAGTGAACGGTTAATAGTAACCTTGACGAAATCGCGCGCACGTAGGGATCGGAAGTGGTATGAAATCGCAACAAAATCACCTGTCTCTTTTCCCTGGGGAAGCCAACGACCAGGTAACCAACAGCGTTCGGCTGCGTCATCATTTTCTTCACGACCAGCTGGACGATCACGTCCGCTGGTACATGGCGACCCTGTCTCGTGATCTCCTCAAAGCGACGACCTCTCTCGGATACGGAATTCACCTCGGATCGTAGCATATCCGACGGCGAAATGAGCTGAGAACCGTATTTCACGGGAAGCTTTCTGCCGAGGGTGAACTTAGCTACCCTTAGACCACTGATCATGAAAATAATGAAGCCTTTGGTCCGCTCGAGGGCGGTGGTCACGAAATCCCGGCGAGGGCTCATCCTATCATTCCCAAAACAGGGAAATTCCCACAACATTCTCATCCTTTTCACGATTCGACTGCGCGAAATATCAAAATTTGTTCGTTCGTTAAATATCGTTAATATTGAATTATGTAAAATAATAATGCTATGTAAGCCGTACTAGCTATGTAAAGCCGATCGCGAACGATCTCCGTTCACAAACCTTCACTCATAAAACCTGCAAATGTAATTTTGACTCGTAGAGTTTCAAAATATTTAATTTGCTTTTTTAATATGCAACTAGAAGTATTCTTAATTTTTTACTTACTTTGCAATCACGAGTAGCACGTGTATGTATATAAGATATGTATATAGAGAATATAGAGAATATAGTGGATGTACAATCCAAAAGTTTTAAATATATACAAATATATTAATACACCATAATATAGAGAGAAAATATACAGGGTGTCCCGCGTAAGACGTGCCAAGAGAAAAATATAAGTAGAATAGATAAAAGTGAACAAAAATTGTAGAGGTCATTTTTCAAACAACTATGTAAAATTTCGAGATATTAATTAAAATAGTTGGGCATATCAGAGCGCGGAGACGCGGCAGGCGAAGAAAATGGACGAGCGCACACGTATGTACACGGACGTACACACGGAGCTACCCATTTCCATATGCCAAACGGCTCAACTCTCTGACCTATAAGATAGGCTCGCGAGCAATCGTCCATTTTTTCGCCGGCCGTGTCGCCGCGTTCTGATATATCCAAATGTTTTAATTAATATCTCGAAATTTTATGTGGTTGTTTGAAAAATGACCTCTACAATTTTTGTTCACTTTTATCTGTTCTATTTATATTTTTCTTTTGGCACGTCTTACGCGGGACATCCTGTATAACCACTTTTCTCATCTTGCACAAAAAATTAGAAGAAAATTTACTGCTATCATGAAAATTTACTTGTGTCACTGAAAGCACAATGAAAAGCGGAATTAGTATTCAATTGGGAGAATAATAGAGTCGAATGCAACATTACTGTGCAAATAATATGCTAATAAAGCGGGAATGACAACGCTGATTTATCACACGTCACGCGCTGATAGAATCAGTAGGTATCGTTTTCGCACGCTACATACTATCGCAGCAATAACGTAGACTATATTATTGACAGGTTCATGCGAATAACGTGAGCTGATAGTTAATATCGATCAGTAAATTCGGAAAGCGATGCGTTCTACATGCGATAGATTATAGTTTGTATTATCATGTATAATTTGTAGAACGTTTGGTAACAATACTTGCAATTCATGCGAACTTTATCAGAAGACCGGGAGACCACAATTAACAGTCATAGTGCGAATCTCTTTATAAATAAAACACTCATTCTTTCAGAAGTAAAATATATCTCCTTCATTAAACAATAATAGTTAATCAATAAATAATAATATATTAATATAAAGTGCAATCGACCTCACTTTTATCTGCACAATGTTCTTTCGTCAATTTTATTCGTCGTGAGTAATCCAAATTTTTTATTACCTTAGTACAGGGTATAAATTCCTAACTAGAAATCGTGGTATATACTTTTATAGCTTTACTTCCTTCACTGTGTTATTTTTTGGTTTTTTCAACGAATTATAACAATAAATCCAAATGTATCGAATGCACCATAGCATCTCGCGAATGATGATTATCGCTCTTTACGGATAATAGCAATTCACCCGCGATGGGTATTAATGCGTTCAACAAATCTCCAGTTTCCACGGGAGATTAAACAAAAATATCGATAACAGAACGTGCGCGGAATAATCATTTTTGGAATACCTAGCTTCTGCAGCGCGCGAATACGTGAAATAATTCGGGCAAATACGATCGTCGCGTTTCAGAAGTAAAGTACAAGGACAGATCAATAATTCGCGAACTTTATCTCGCAGTGTCGAATGAATAAATGACGAAAGTATGACGCTTTTTAACATACCTTCCGCGGGAGGAAATTACCCGAAATCAAATCGTCTCGAAAATGCGACCAATTCCACTAGAATCGTCGATATCTAATTTGTAACAGCGGCCAAGTGGAGATTATACGTTCGCGTCTCAAGACAAACCTGGCCACCGTGGGCACAGAAGGATCGTGATCCTCCGATGACCGCATGCCAATTCCCTCGGAGCGTCGAACTGTCAACCGCAAGCGGTCCCACCGGGTGTCCCGGGAATTCCGTCAGAGGGTCGCATTCTCGACGGTCGGTGGGACCTAAATCAATTAAATATCTCGCAGTGATCCGCTCGTCCGATTATCTGCGTCGTGGGTTAGTTGTCGGCACGACATAGTTCACACCTAAGGCCGCGTGGCCGCATTTTCCTCGTGAAGACGATGGGAGAAGAAACTCACGGGCGAACAACGAGAATCGACACCTACGCGATAGACGCTTCATGGATTTTAGCATTCCGGATCGTGATGCTCGGAGACGCGAAGGTCGTTAAACCGAAACGTACATTATTTCCGCAACTTATTCTCCAGGATCCTATATAACACAAAATCCACTGATAAGAAGAACCGTAAAACGTGAATTCTTCAACTTTAGCCATTTTCAGGGTCGTCGATTTTGAAATTCTTCAATAATCGTAAATACATTTGCTCCTAATAGTGTGTTTTTAGAAAAAGGTATACAAAGGACGAAGATAGAAGGTTCGACTCATGTATACTTCCGGCGGTAGTCGAACTTTATTAAATAAATAAATGGCATCGTCGCGATGTTGATAATAGCTCTGCCAATTAGAGAAGCACAGCATCTGGTCCACTTCCATATTGGAGGCATCGCGGAGTAACGCTGAGTACTCAATGTAAATTTCCAGCGAAGCTATAACCATTGCTTCGAGTCGGCCCGAATATTATACGAATTCTGCTGACGCTTGAAAGCTACCAAAGTCTCGGGAGGATTTTCACAGCAGAGGAGGAGCTCCTGCTAGCTCATTGCCTCCGGTTATTTTCGACTCCTTACGAGAGTTCACATTTAGTTTGTAATGTTATGTGTTACATGCAGCCGAACTGTTAGATGCGTAAGCACGTTTCACTCTTTAACGAGTATTTAATTACCAAGATTTATACAATTTTTATTCCGTTTCCTTGCAATACCAGTATATTAATGATGTAAGAATTTTCGTGTGCCCAACGCATCGCGCAGATTCTATTCAATCACTATGTGCTACATCTCGAAAAGATGAAAGACATGTTTCTGAGACAGAAGGTATTTCAGAAACAATCCTCGTGCTCTCGACGAGAGATCTCTTCGGGAGCTGCCGGAATCGCGAGAAAATGCAACGCTTCGACGAAGTTCAGCATCGTGAATTAAATGCAACTTGAGTCGTCTCGTTTCCATCACTAGTCGTAGAACTTTCAATTAACCTTTCTGTATGCCTCTTTCTCTCTCTCTCTTCCTTCTTCTTCTCTTTCACTTCGCCCTGGAATTCCGCCTCTATCTTTCACCTTTCCTTCCATCCCACTTCCGTTCTCCTCATCACTCCGTTACGTAATCGGCCCTAGCAAAAGCCATTAGCAATACACCAAGCTTCGACCTATGTAACACCGAGGTCTGCATCAAATTACCACGCGCATTAATTCGAGTACTTCACTAACCGACGTTTAGAGGGAAAGAAACATTTACTGGATCGTTACGAACCGAAGTAACGACAGTTCTAGATAAAATTATATTCTTTCACCACAATGTCTAATCAACAGAATTGCATCGCATAATTAATACAAACGTGAGAGAGTATGGAGAATATACAAAGACTCCTTCAATCAAGAATCTCACATGTTCAAATTTATTTCTAACATCAACAGCACCGAATAATAAAGTATATGGAGAGAACTGTCATGGCCGCTACATCCACGTTTTCTATGGTTAGAGAGAAAATAATTTCAAGTTAAATGTATATATTAAAAATTGCTGTTGTTAGATCGTTGCTGCAATATTAATGAAGTCACGGCGATTTTGACTGTCGCTTCGAACGTTGCTCGTCTTCGCGTCGGCCGCGTCGTGACAATCGATCGCGAGCGCGGCGCAAGAAGTCGTAGGGCGCGATAGCGGAAATCATTAACGACGCGGCGTAATCGCGCGGCCGACGGACAGGAAAATAATTGCGACAATTATCACGGCCGCGCAATCGTTTCGAGTATGCCTCATAATACGCGCGAGTGCTCTCTTAGTCACGGTGCTCGCTCGTGTAACTTCCGCGAGCTCGTTCGCGGGCGGAACGTGCACGGGCGACGATTAAACCGCCGCGAAATTTATGAAGCCGAATTAACGGTAAGAGGCGCCGGGTCGCCGCGACTGGAGACCGGTAAACTCGGCTGGTGGTTAATTATTACCAAGAGCGCGCGGACGCGCTGCGCGGAGAGGTCTCCATGCAAATGGAAGGACCATTAATTATCATCGAGTCCCGTGTCGCATTCCCTTTGGCGCAGCGTCGTTGAATTTTATTTTCGTCGATCTGCTCGTTCCCATTTCTCCGTCGCGTCGGTCTCTCGCGCGGAGGAATCACGCGGTTCAAACGATTAAGGCACGAGCGAAAAGCAAGAAAAACGTAAATAATGCTAATGTCATCGTTAATGCTGACGCGTGAGATCGATTCTCGATTATTTCACTCGATTACGACACGGAGTCCAACTGTGTAATTTTTCACAATAACGACAGCGATTTGCCACTTTTCCTTTTTCTCTTTGCGGATTCTACCCTCGTGGCAAATGACGCGCCGATAAACTAAATCTCCATTATCGACTCCGTAATATACAAATAATCGTCATCCTGATAAATATGCGAATATCTTCTTTCCCATCGGCGTCGATATTAATTGTTATTATTTTTATTTGGCGAGAAAGGGGGTGTGCCACAAGTTTGTAATTTAATAATTTCTTTGTCTTTTTGGTTCCATAAATCTGCAACGTCCTGGCAAGCAAAAACGGAATCATGCGAGCAAAACTTTCCACAGCGCTGCACTGAATTGTTTATAACTTTATTGTTATTGAAGATAATTATCTGTAAAAAAAAGTGGAGATAGATATTTGTACAAAACTGTATACAGACTATGTTTTATAGTTTCTTAAAAAAAAAATTCCCGAGAATCACGAATGAGACGATGTTCCAAGCGGCAACATCCCCTTAAGAGCGATCGGGGGCGCGATGATGTGTATTTCGACGAGCCGCGCGCGGCACATCCACCGAAATTGCACGACGAGGCAGTGCTACATCGACGCATCCGCTGCGGCGCAGCTAGTAGCAACGTAGTGAGCGCAGCGAGCGCAGCCCGCTCGATCATTCTCTCTCGTCTCAAGCTGCGCCGACCGTCCCCGCCGCCTGTCTCTCGCCAATTGGCCGCATAATCAGTAATTGCCAGGATGCAACGGCCACGAACATCCCTTA